GCCCCGAGACAGCCGGGGGCCGTCGCCGCAGCCGCCGCCCGCGCTGAGCCCCGGCCCGGCCCGCGGCCCGCGCCGGGCGGCAGCATGAGCCAGGCCGAGCTGTCCACCTGCTCGGCGCCGCAGACGCAGCGCATCTTCCAGGAGGCCGTGCGCAAGGGCAACACGCAGGAGCTACAGTCGCTGTTGCAGAACATGACCAACTGCGAGTTCAACGTGAACTCGTTCGGGCCCGAGGGCCAGACGGCGCTGCACCAGTCGGTCATCGACGGCAACCTGGAGCTCGTGAAGCTGCTGGTCAAGTTCGGCGCCGACATCCGCCTGGCCAACCGCGACGGCTGGAGTGCGCTGCACATCGCCGCGTTCGGCGGCCACCAGGACATCGTGCTCTATCTCATCACCAAGGCCAAGTACGCGGCCAGCGGCCGGTGATGCCCGCCGGGGCCCTGGCCTGCGGCCCGTGCCCGCGTCGTCTCTGCTGTACTTCCCGCCAACTACCTCGGTGTGCGCAGGGTCGCCGGCCCCGCCAGGAGCCCCGCGCCGGGCCCTCGGCGCCCGCCCGCAGCCTCGGCGAGGACGGCGCGCGTCCGCGGCCCCGGGCCCGGCAGCTTCGCCGGCCGAGCGCCTCCCCGCGGCCGCCCGGGCCGCCCGGCCACGCCGGACGCCTTCCCGCGGCCCCCGCCCCGCCGCCCCGCGGGTGGGGGCGGGGCGCAGGCTCCAGCCCCGTTTGAAATTTGAGTCTCGCCACTAGCAAGGTCGGAATCCCGAGATACCGGATCCTCCACTCCGAATGTTTCCTCCCGAAGGCGAACGCGGCGGCGGGGACGGCGGACTCGGGGACCCGCCGCCGCGGGAGCAGCCGCCCCGCGCGCGGAGACGCGCTACTGCTCTTGGTGTTCTCACTATTTATCTTGTGTGTGTATATTTGTGGGTGAGGTTCGTGCGCCTGTCTTTTTCGTTCGGAAAATATTGTGCGTGGTCAATGTGGTTATGGGGGAAAGATGCATTTTTTTTCTAGTCTTAAAACTAAAAACTTGAGTCTACCATTTCTTGGTTGCACTGAAAACGCCGCCCAGCCTGAAGGTCCTCC